GGTAAGAACAGCAAAGTCAGTATCTTGTCCTGAGACTTTAAACTTTTAGTTCTCCCCATAATGTGTAGTATTTAAAAATCAAGCCGCAGTAAAACTTCAACATGGACTAGTCTTGGGAGATTGTTTGCTGTTATTTATAGAGTGTCTTAAATATAACAATGGGATGGGTGGAAGGGGAGGTTGAACAGACAAATGGGTAAAACTTTGGAAAAGGAGGAAAAGGAAAGGGAGGGGCTGGGTTGTGTGTATGTGTGTTTGTTGGGAGTAGCTCCTCAGACAGAAGATAGATATGTAGCCAGTTTATTCTGAGAATGTCTATTCATCTGTCCGTCAAGAGATGTTCGAGCCCTCGGTCAGACACCGAGACGTGCTGTTTATTCACAGAGTGGGGGGACTCAGGAAACAGCCAACGGGAGCTTCCAGGGGAAAAACGCGAGGGGCGATCCTCGCGGTTCTATAGGAGGAAATGAGTCATATGGGCGTGGGCCTGATGGAGACCACTTCCAGCCCAGGGGCCCTGAGGTGGAGCCACACACAGGAAATATGTCTTTTTACATTTATGTTACATGTACACTGAGGTATTTAGCTTATCAAGAATGCCTCAGTACAATAAAGAAAAATGTCAAAGGTTGACCAAGATTCCAATCAAGAAATGGCAAGAGTGAATGATTCACAGCCTAAACACTTTATCTGTGACTCCAAAATAGTATTTAAACTAAATTACGATAGACTGCCAGCCGTCAGATTACAGCTAGACTCCCTCCAGTTTGCCTACAGGGCCAAACAAGGTACGAAGGATGCTGTGGCATGACTCCTCCACTCCCTCCTCAAGCATCTGGAATCACAAAGCAACTTCACCTCTGTTCTCTTTGTGGCTCTGCCTTCAGTACAATTCAACACCATCAAATGGTTAAGAAAGTTCACCACTTCCCTCCACTCCTCATCCCCAGGGTTCACAACTTCCTCAGTAAAAGACCACAGGCTGTCAAAACAGGCACAGTATCATCATCAACTGTCATCACCAACACCTTCCCTTTCTACTCTCTACACTTTTGACAGTACCAGCCATTCATCCATCAACACATTCTTCAAATACTCTGATGACACTGCCATACTATCACTACTCAATAACGCAATAACTCTGTTGCAGCCATAAACTCCAATTCCTCAGTTCAAACAATGGTGCACTGATAATTACCTGCAGCTAAACATGGACATGAAAGAACTGGTCATCAGCACATCAAAAACACCCCACACTGGACTAACCCTCCTCCCTCCATCCAAAGCAAGACTGCAGAACAGATAAACAACTTTGGACCTACTACAGACAATAAACACTCAATCAATCAATACAAAGACTCCATGTTATTTGGAGGTTAAACTGAAAGTGAGTACACCTGAAAACATAATTAGATGAAACATTTGTCAATATAAATGGCTCATGAAAACTCATATGACCCCAATTAAACTACAGCATATATCCACACATTTTCCAAACATTTGCTCCAAATGCTTTGATGAGAAGGGTAAACTGCTTCACTGTTTATGGGAATGCCCAAGAATTCAAATATTCTGGAAGAATGTTATCCAGTGTCTTTCCTTTAAATGGTAAACTTTGTGTTCTTGATATATATCCTGAGAGTTTGTTCAAATATCAAAATAGACTAAATTTCTGGATTGCTTCATGCCAGGAGGTCGATAATACTCTGTTGGAAAAGTATGAAGGCTCCATCATTGAGAATGTGGACGGAGGGACTGACTGCTTGTATTAGACTGGAAAGACTAACTTAACTGTACATCGCTAAAGGGAAGCAGGAGGAATTTTTTCAAATTTGTAAAGCATAAATGGACTTTTTGAGGGCTAGGACAAATGTTGATTAAAAGGAAAGTGTAGACAATAAGTAGATTTGAAAGATGTGCGTGGAAGTGACACATCAGAAATCTGTGTCCTGTGTTGATTGTGAGGTTAGCGTCTTTAGACGTTAATTGTACTGAGGTTGTGGGTGTTTAAACAAAAAATGCAATAAAGAATTTCAGAAAATTCAAAGTAGATTAAGTTACACTCAACCAACCAAAATTATTTTTTTAACAACCTGGCACCCTAGAAGTTGTTCTTCTTAAATCTGGGGTAGGCAATTTATTTTAAAAACATATTTTGTTATCTTTGTTAAAATTATCTTCAGCAATCAGTAAATCCATTACAACAATGAAAAATATCTGTGGCACAGATATCACAGGACTGTAATAAGCATGGCCAATCATTTATTCAGTCACGATGAGACTCACAGATACAACAACACGTTGCTTGAAGTCCAGTGTAAAGTTTCCACAGTCAGTGATGGTTTGGGGTGCCATGTCATCTGCTGGTGTTGGTCCACTGTGTTTTCTGAGCTCCAAGGTCAACGCAGCCATCTACCAGGAAGTTTTAGAGCACTTCATGCTTCCGACCAACTTTATGGAGATGCACATTTCATTTTCCAACAGGACTTGGCACCTGCACACAGTGCCAAAGCTACCAGTACCTGGTTTAAGGACCATGGTATCCCTGTTCTTAATTGGCCAGCAAACTGGCCTGACCTTAACCCTATAAAAAATCTATGGGGTATCGTGAAGAGGAAGATGCGATACGCCAGACCCAACAATGCAGAAGAGCTGAAGGCCACTATCAGAGCAACCTGGGCTCTCATAACACCTGAGCAGTGCCACAGACTGATGGACTCCATGCCACGCCGCATTGCTGCAGTAATTCTGGCAAAAGGAGCCCCAACTAAGTATTGAGTGCTGTACATGCTCATACTTTTCATGTTCATACTTTTCAGTTGGCCAACATTTCTAAAAATCCTTTTTGTATTGGTCTTAAGTAATTTAACTAATTACTAATTTTCGGAGATACTGAATTTGGGGTTTTCATTAGTTGTCAGTTTTAATCATCACAATCAAATGAAATAAACATTTGAAATACATCAGTCTGTGTAATGAATGAATATAATATCCAAGTTTCACTTTTTGAATGGAATTACTGATATAAATCAACTTTTTGATGATATTCTAAGTATATGACCAGCACCTGTAGACACATGAGCTATACTGGATTGTTTGTGATTCACATGGTGCAGTAATTTACTCAACAGCAATGCCAACGGTTAATCAGGATAAATCACAGATAAACCACTGCTGTCCATCAGTTACAAGAAATTGATTGAACTACTGTTTCAAGTCGTCATCCATCAGTTTCAAATCCAGCGTCAATGCAAGTCTCTTTCTCCCATCCATCTTGCTGCATTCTCAGCATGTTGCCCATAAATTGAATCAAAGGAATCCAATATTCATTTCTTTAGCTAGTTCTAAACTGCATGAATACAAATATAAATGTTTAAACTTGTGTCAGTAGGGACATGCTTAACTTCATTAGATCAGTTACTGGTTGAAATAAACTGTTTGATAGTAGCTTATTTCATATCTTTGCTGAGCGAGCGTTTTGTGCGAAAGGAATTAAAGCCTGATCCATATGGATGCTTGTCCCAAATATAGGCAGGGTCAGTTCAGTGATTTTAACAAATAAAAACCCAGGCTATTAATTAAGTGTCTCGGTATTTTACTTTCTTCATCATTGTACCCGTTTCCATTGTGTACACTGCAGAACCTGTTTTGTTCACCAGTATATATAGAAAATGACAATTCTACTCCCACATCTATATGAACCGCTAACCCTGTCAAAAACCTGAGGGGAATGACTGCATTGGTGTTGGCGTGCTGCTAGAGTGTTAGAAGGGAAAACAAAATATGAACCAGAAAGTCCATTTTGGGTGAAAACCATACATCCATGAGTTTACATTCATGCGTCATCATGCAGAAACAATATTGTTTTGTCACAAGTTTAATTAGCATGATGCTAAAAGTACACCTGTTACAGAATGTCCCATTGCACTGATTATGCACTAGGACATTTCTTTCTCCAGAGCCCTTCTGAATATTGCCATTTAAGTTGGAGAGCAGTTTGAGTTGGCTTTTCTTTAATAGAAGTAGGAAACTTCCCAGTTCCCTCTACAGTGGGTATCATTTCATTTCTATTGATTCCAGTTACACCCCATCACCACAAATTAACTGATAACCACCACAGGCACACAGATTGAGGGTAATCGGCAGCATCAAAACTGGCCGTTATGGGGGCTGTTTAAAGACATTTTACGAGACAGGAAAAGATTGTTCAAACTGTTTGTAACAGCACTCGATGCCTCGCTGTCCTGTTAGACACCTTCTAAGACAGCATTATTTTCTTATCTTCCCCTTTATGGCTAAAGATTTGGTACAAGAGGGGCGTCTCTAAAGACTCATACCTAAGAAATATATATAGGAATCATTTGCAGACATAATTCGTTTACCTTTGATGTAAAAGGTGAGACATTGCTACTTTTAGTGTTAGCTACATGAAATGGCGCGTCACTGTAGCTGGGAGACCCCAACACACTGAACACGGTGCGTTCCTTCAGATTCACACCATGCTGAAGTAAATACTCGAATGCTTTGTTGACATACATCAAAAGACCTGATGTCAGGTCCATGTACCATAGCGACCCGTCAATCGGGCTAGAGTGACTCGTACCCACGGCACTGTAAATTCACCCAGCGCAGTAGAAAAAGTGTGTTAGGAGTTGGCTGTTCACTTTTTCTGGTGAGTACATTTAGTTTTAAGCTAGACAAAATTGTCAGCCCTGTTAAAATGACAGTTAACGTGAATTACAGATGCACCTAGCTAAGCAAGCTAGCTAGCTCCACAAACGGCCGTTAGCTCCAGTCTCCTCTAAATATAGTTACGTCCAGGCACTTCCTGGTTGCAAAAACTCAACATGGCGGCGGCCTATCGGCCAAACTCAAGGCTTCAAAATGGCAGTCCACAAACCAACGCGTGACATCTACTTCTTTTATACAGAGGAAAACTAAAGCTTAAGCTTTATGCAAAGAGGATTGTTTTATGTGATAAATGAAAATGGTTTTAAACATCACTTTCAAATTTTTATTCAAAGGATTTACATTAACATTAAAGCACATGGTAAATTGTGTGAACTTACAAAAGCGATACATGATCTGATGTGACAGTATCAACTTAGCTTCTCTCTTGGTTCAAATGGAGAAGGCGTTCAAAAATAAGCATCTACAACTCTTCCCCCCCCGTTCCCCAACCCAACCCCTGGCCCAAAGAAGAAATTGCATAAAAGCAAACACATCAATACACACACGAAAAGAATTCAACCACTAAATAAGGTAATTAGACTAGCCTTTAAAATAAAGCCTCAATTTCCCAGCTGGTTTGGATGCACTCCAAAACATTTGGTGCCTCACAACTAGAATCTACACTTTCTACTGAACAGGTAGTGATTTCTCTGTACATGAGGGTTTCTGCAAAGGCCCCCCTCCCCCCCCACTTCTCCCTGTCCGTCTGATAACCTTTACCCTGTGGCAGGGACAGAGGTCATCTGGCGGCCGTGAGGCTGGTCTGGAGCCGCTGTGTTCAGGCTTTGGTTAAGGCCTTGTCATGAAAACTGGATCTGTTGTACAGTGGGAATCTGCAACACAGCCACGGAGATTAGTTGGAGATGATATGTATTATTGTTTAATTTATTTACTATCCCATTCAGATCAATATAGGAACTTTGAAAGTAGTGATGCAAACAAAAAATGCAACCTGTGACCCGCTGTTGCGTCAGTGTGTATTTACCTGTTGATATGAGGTGGTGTACACCATGACGTTCTGCTGCTGACCATCTGCTGTGATAATCCCAGCTGGCAGTGGATTTGCTGAGGGGGGAAGAAAAGTGTATTTTAATGACTCAATTCCGAACATAAAGTGCAGATTGAAAACACTGTCACAGACACACAAGAAATGCATGTCAAAGGGCAAGAATCAAAGCAACCGTGAGGACAAATTCTAAAGTCTTCTTCATAAATGAACCATTTCTGCTTACTGAAGCTATCGTCTGCGAGATCCTCTCCCAGGCCTTCACCCACAGACACCCCTGGGATCCCCTTCTCCCCCTTCATGGCCTGGGGAAAAAAACAGAAGCAGAAAATATTAAACATGTGAGCACAACGTAATAGCATAATATGGTTCAGGGTAATGAAATTATTACCAAAGCAATTGTATTTTAAGCATTTTAGACCGTTCAACACAACTTGTGACTTTACTGGTGTTCTCGCTCAAGTTTCCTCATCTGGCCAACCAGCTGCTTCATGCTGTCTGTTGCCAGTTTTTCTGCCCAGCTGGGCTGATTTTAATCACAATGGGCAAACAATTGTGGACAGACTAATTGGGTGGTTAAAATTATTTGGATTAGTATTTATTTTGTATCAACTTCATACTGCATTATTGGACCAGATTTAATGAACACTAGGTGACTTTTTAGCAAATGTTAAACTGGAATCAATCTGGCAACACTAAACTAAACCCTCTCTGATGAAAGAGTGTTTCTGCCAAACTTGCAAACACATCAGAGCAGTAAACCATAATACAAACATAACAAGAAGATCAGAATTTAAGATTCACTTATTAAATAAAACAGGCACTGCTACACAGAATGGAAATTGAAATAATAAAACAGCTTCATCTACTTATTGTTACATTTTACGTAACGTAACTACTATTGTAGTTCATGTTTATGTGGCCACTTGGACCCCAGTTTGTGTCTCACCTCTCTGAACTTCTGCAGGTAAAGCTTCAGAGGCTCCACATACATGTCAAAGCCCAGCGTGGACATGGCAAACAGGATGTCCTCCCCGTTGATGGTCTTCCTCTTTTCCTGGTGGCAGCGCTCACTCGCCTCTGATGTGATGAAGCTGATGAACTCGCTCACACACTCCTGCACACACTCCTTGGCGTCTTTCGCAATCTGTTGGAAACAGAAAAGAAATTACAGAGAGGTTTTTTCGATTTTTATATAACTTCCAGGTGCATCTCAATAAAATAGAACATTGTGGAAAAGTTCATTTTCTTCCTTAATTTTATAATTATTTAAAAATGTGAAACTTTCATATATTCTAGATTCATTACACAAAGTGTAATATTTAAAGCCTTTTTACTAAATCTTGATTATTACGGCTTACAGCTCATGGAAATCAAAACTTCAGTATCTAAAAATATATCGGAATTTTAGAATTAATCATTTATAATACATTACCTGTATAAATACATTTTTTCCTCACTTCCCCATAAATACACAAATCTTCCTAAAATGTTCAGGGTGGTCAGCAAATGAAAACCGCCTCCTAAATAAATTGTTAATATTATCAATTGACACAAAATGTCCACCATGAGGCCCAAATAGGGCTGCAGCTAACCACTATTTTGATAGTCGATTAATCTATCGATTATTGAAAAATATAAATCGACTATTCAGACAATGAATCACAAAATTACACAATGCGTCTTATTTAGCTATCAGCTTTTAAATTAAACTTGAGGTTGTTTTAGGCATGTGCTAATTAACAGTCACGAAAATAAAATAAATACTGCTTTCAAAAATACATTTTTTAATAAATGTTTCTGCTGCAGCAAAAGAATGTCCCACTGAAATCAAGTTCTGATATCAGCAGCCGATGTGTTTAGTAACGGAGCAGTTTACACGGCAGTACTGCAACACACCGGGACAAACTGACACTGTATACAAAGAAGGGAATAACGTCATGCATTACATTTGCCGAATTTACGTGGGGGGGGTCAATAATAATAATTTTGTAGTAGACAGCGTTTCACAACGTTTATATATTTTCCCCATACTCAACAACTCACAAAACTCTGATTTTTTAATGGAGTTTGGGCCGCCGCCTCACGCACAAACAGGAGAACTGTTTTCTCTTCTTTAGAAAGTATGAAATTGTCTGGTGTCGTCTAATCTTGTGTACTCGGCAGCAACATCTTCTCCAGCTGGGAACTTCACCATGAGCGATGCATTGTTTATAATTGTAAAGTCAGGGGACATCTGGAATGTGAAGACGGACATTGTGCATCATTACGCGCTACTCTCAGCGCCATTATCAATCAATCAAATTGACTAAGAGGAACTGTATGGAAAATGTTACAGCACATAACGTTAAGTAACACGGCTTTAACGTGAAGCTAGCTCGCTAACTAGCTTACTGAGACGAGTCTTCATCATCCACAGAGCAACAACATGACGTGCTTCCTCTTCAGATGCTCCGGTGTTTCCAGGAAAGCTCAGCTTGCAGACGCTGCAGTTAACAACCTTTTTCACTGAGTGAAGAGTGGAATGCTCCCACACTTTGGAGGTTTAAGGTTGTGAAGGTGTTACTGCACATCACTTTACTGTTCACATCACTTGACTCCGTTAAGATGACGGTGTCGTTACGGACCGATGACGTCATGAACGAATCGATTATTAAATTCACTGGCAACAAATTTAATAAATCAATTTTTGTCGACTATGTCGATTAGTTGTTGCACCCCTAGGCCCAAACAAATAAACTATGGTATAGAGCAGCCTACGCTCTGTTCCCTGCAGTGTTTTTTCTGCATGTCGGTACCTTTGAACATCTGAAGAAGGGCTCCCTTAACACCAGCTGTCTGTCAGCTCAGCTCTCCATTCTTATAAAGTGCTGTGAGGTCAACATTACAGTTACAAATGACAGAAATCCAAAGAGTGCAACGCTTGCTAGAAAATAGTGTTTGCCATGAGGACACCGGTCAGAGGTGGGATGAAATTTGCCAGAGGCAGCCGCCTCATAATTCTCTATCCAGGGAAAACCCTGATCACTCCTGCTCCTCTCTCACTAACCTTTCCAGTCTGAGGAACAGCGTTCTTCATGATGCGAGCCACGTTGGCTATAGGGAGATAAATGTCCTGCTCCCTGAAGTTCTCTTTGATACCGCCGTCATCATGGTCATTCAGATCTGCATCTGCATCGTCTACGGACAACAAACACAGAGAATGAATCAGCTCTGTGTGGCCTGAGCAGAAACACAACCCTCACGCTTGTTTTCTGACAATCTACACACCATCTTGAGGCTGGAGAACGTAGTGGCCGGATGGCATGTACTCTCCAGTGATGCCCAGCTGGGAGGCGTCGGTGGTCGAGCTGTCTCCGTCCATCTGCAACACATGCACACATCTCATTTAAACACCTGAAGCTATAGCAATAACACTTCGTTTGACTTGAGTCATTCATCAAGCTTCCTCCACAATTATCAAGGAGCAGACAATCTCTTCTGGAATTCCATGACGTGTTGGTTAACTAACCTCAGAACCGTAAAATGAAATAAATGACAGCTACGCAGTAGATTCAACAATCTCAAAAGTCTGACCTACATCTTTTAAAACAGGGAGAACTAATTAAAGTACTGAAAGTAACACATGTGGGTGGATGGCAAGCTACTCCCACAATACCCTTAGATTTCTTAAATTCCTCAGATGATCCAGTGCTGTATAGAGCTGCAACAAACAACTACTTTCCATCCATCTTGTTTACTGCCAGTCGCGGGGACAACTACTTTCATTTATTTTCTCAATTTATGATTAGTTGTTTGGTCTATAAAATGTCCCAAGGTAGTGCTAAATGCCAATCGGTGTTTCCAAAAGCCCAAGATGATGGGCGAGAAAACCAGAAAATATTCATAGCCAAGGAGCTGGAATAAAAATGTAATCATTAGGTCTAGATATGTCTTTGTGTCCTGTGCACCTGGATCACTGAGCAAGGATATCACATTAAAACAAGAACCAATGAGATAAACATGGCCTTGCGTTTTGGGTGATCAGACTGCAATCGGAAAGTACTTGACCACATGAACATACAGGTGTAAATGCACACAAGATGCACTGAGTCTCCAATCAGTAAAACTACCTCCAGAAGTGTTCATGTGCTGTCAATCTGCACACAGCTATGTCGGTGGAAATACATACTGGTCAGTTTACTGGGGGAAATTATAGAATATGTTCTTGACAGTTATAAAGGACCCTATTCTTTGCTGTTGAACAGCTGTCAGCTGGAGAAAAAAAAAATAAATAAAAAATCACATGGACAAAATCAGTCAGATCCAATCACTATCACTCAGTCCTACAGCAATTGTGAGCTTCTCCAATGTGGGGATTTGTTGCATTTCTTAGCCATTACAGTTAACTGAGTACCTACACAAAGCTATTTGAATACATCACTATAGATTTAGAGAAATTATAATGTTTCCCCTCCACTATTTTCTGACATTTTATACAAAAAATATTAGACAATTAAGGGAGAAAATAATCAACAGATTAGCGAGTATTGGTCCAGTCATTGCTGCTGGGAATTCCTCGCAGGTTGGGACAGTGGTTGTGCTCTCCTAAATCCTGGTTGTATGGCTATCAACTGTATAATTGTTTAGAATTTAGTTCAGAAGTTCAGCTTTTCTGTTCAATAGAACCAAATGTGTGTTTTGCTTTGTCTTGCGCTCTAACGTAACGTTAGCTAAGTTACCGCATCTTACCTCCCTAAGTGAACGTTACTCATTAGCTCCCTGACTTGGCAAAAAAGCGGGTTATATGACCCCCCTTCACGCAGCGTTGTATGAGTGTTTGCGGGCTCGGCGGGACACATTCTGACGACAAATTTCGGATTTGACCCGACTGCGAGCTAGTTAATTATGTTAGTGCGGTTAGCACTGTAACGTAAATGGGAAAACGTGCTAGTTAAGACGGCTGTAAACCCGCGGTGAGGTCCGTTTACGTTAGCCAGACGCTAAGTTAGATACATTGATCTGCGTTTAGCTAAATTATCGTAACGTTATGCTAACTAGCAGATGTTAGACGCGGGTAGCTATGTGATATCTTTAGCTAACGTTAGCTCGTGTTAACCCACGGAATGGAGTTCACGTTAGATCGCCAGTTCGCTGTTCTTAACAAAACTAATGAGCTCAGCATATTAAAGAGAGGCTGTCCAGCGGGATGTTACCTTCTGTAGTTAACCTATTCAGGTACATAGTGCCCCTTGAATACATTTTCATTGTGAATCCACTGCAACTGGCGCCTGCAGAGACTGTGTTGGCCTGTTCTTTGTCGTACGTAGCAGAGCAAGACGTGGTCAGGGCCGAAATGTTAAATAGTAATTTTAAAGTTTCGCCCGCTGGATACTTCCTGATGAGCAGCCCTCATTCACTCAGACAACAAATAAAAAATCAGACAGAGACGGACATTTCCATTCGAGCTAACGAGAAATCGGTTAGCAATCATTGGCCGGAGCCAGGCACAAACCTGCAATGAAGCCCTGGTTGGTTACCTTCCTGAGACGGCTGTTTGGTTGGACAGAAAATGGCTGCGAAAGGACCAGTCCCAGCGCGGAGCCGCGGCTGCACTACCGCCTATCGCCGACAGAGGACCGTGCTGCGTTCAGGGACTCCTCGCAAGCTCCTAACTCCAAGGTTTAAAGTAAATTTAGCAGTGGAAACATTAGTAGGGACTGAAATTGTAAACATGGGTTGTGTGGTCAGTTGAATGTGGGAGATGGTTTTAAGATCAAAATGTGTATTTAAGCTGCTTTTCTTGATAATGAAAGCCAAACACTGAAACGCCAGAATGAAGATGAAATATCATACACATCAGTCATGCGCTTTCATAGTAACGTCGTTCGGTCGTCATCCTTGCTGCATTGTCGTAATTCCTATGTTTATGGCAGCAACGGAACGCGTCTCTTCTAGGCTACAGTTTCCCACTGCTTTCAATAAGAAGACAGCTGCTCCTGCTGTTTCACGGTCACGTAAGCCGCCATAAGTGCAGCACTTCAGGACCAAATACGTGCAGAAAGCATGTTTAGGTCTCTTAAGTGTCTATAAAACAAACACTGACATTGCCCTTTTTACATTTTTACAAATACAATAAAGTTTCACACTGTGTTTTAAAGAGAACCTGGCTTCTCTGGGACAATCTAGTCCACATTTGACAGGTCTAGGTATAATGTTTTTTGATCTGGACCTGGTCCAATATGGTCTCGATGTCAATAAAGCAGTCAAATCTCCCTTGTTTTGCATTTTCACCAATAAAATGGGTTTTACAAATCTGAAAGTAAGTTTCAGACACCATTCAGGCCTTTTTACCAAGACTGCAAGGCACCTGTTTAGTTAACATAATCATAGCAACTTGATATTCGCCACAAGATGTCACCCCGCCATTACTTTCTGACTACTATAGAAGCAGTGGAGCAGTGGTTAGCACTGTCACCTCACAGCAAGAAAGTCGTGGGTTCAAACCCCAGTTGGAGTTTTACTTTCTGTGTGGAGTTTGCTTGTTCTCCTCGTGTCTGCGTGGGTCCCTCCCACCATCCAAAGACTAGGTTGATTGGTGACAATGTCTGTGTGGCCTGCTATGGACTGGTGTACCCTGCCTTTCGCCTGATGTCAGCTGGGACTGGCTCCAACGCCGGATAAGCGGTTGATGATGGATGGATAATTTCCCCTATGTCTGTCTTTCTGTCTAACCAATACATAGCAATTCAGTGCCATACATTAACATGGTGGATAAAATGTCATTTGCTCGTTTTCAATATGTTTATTTATAATTTATCAACACTTCAATAGTTTCTATGAACATCAAGTTCCACACCATAACACTGTGTTATTGTTTTTGTTTTTACAATCCGAGATCTCAAAGACTAAATGCTGTTGATTGAGAAGTATTTTCCATCCTGGCACGGCAACACAACTAAAATAACACCAGAGGAAGGTTATCAGTGTCTGGACCGGAGCAGTAAAATAAGGAGCCATTATCCAGGCCATCAGCGGGGCTCTATGACTGCGACCTGCTGGTTATTGGAGTGGGGTCAAGATGTGGCAACGGTCTGCAAAATCTTTAGTTAGTCATAAAGAAAGTTTAAATCCATTTATTCTTATACATATTCATATATTCAATTTTTTATACATTACATATATAGTATTTGAGGTGTTGCAAAAGCAGAATGTATACTGTTATTTGCTCCCACAATGATGTTGCTGTGCAACATTTGAGCTTGATCAGGCACAACACTAACAAATATATCTCCAAACAATAGACGTGCATAGGTGGACAAACCTTTAGTCGATTAGTCAGTTAATTGATGAGTCGCTTGGCAATTAATTAATCAACTTTTTTGAAAATAATTTTTGCAGCCCTAGAATTCTGAACACAATGAAAAAAATCATAGGTCACAGGTGACAACAATTGGAATGCAAAACAATATGATAAACAGTCAAAGACCAAGGAAAGAAAAATAACAATGAAATAATCAAAACTGAAATGAAAAAAATCATTAAAATATTATAAAATGAACAAATATTATAATTAAAGGAGAAAAAGGACAATTAAAAATAAATAATTATTTACATAAAGGTTTAATATTGAGTAGATGTAAAAAGCTTCTCTCCTCATGAATCTGCAGCTCCTGTTGTCTTTAACAACTCATAATTACTGCTAATCTCGTCAATGAACGCTCACTTTGCCAAAGCACAGCTCAGATAATTATCATATTAATGGGCTTTATGCTAATGGGATGATCTGTGAGCAGCTCTAGAGGAAAGTGGAAATGAGATGAAGGGGCAGGAGCTGGGATTGTTGAGAAGGACGAATTAACCTATTTCAATATTTAATTTAGATTTTTCTGTCTGACTCTCTTTCTCTCATTTCTTCAGTTTTTCTCTTGTCACTCCTTTAGGAAGCTGCTGCAGGTTGAAAGCCTTGATCTTGACCTTGTAGCTCCCTCTGAGGCACCAAGAGGGGTGATTGTTTAATTCTCACAGTTTTGAAGAGATTATGAATAATTTCTTCTCCTTTCTCGAGTTTTTGAAGATATGTTAGCTATTAAACACTGTGGTCCTACTGAGTAGGAATTGTCACAAAATGTGACAATGAAGTTAAATACACCAAGATGTTCTCACTTCTCATTTGGTCTTTGTTGTCATGTTTTCCTGCTCTTTCTCTCTTTGCTGTCTGTCCTTTAGTTTTCTTTTTTCTTTACTTTCTTTTTTCTATTTTCTCCTCTTCTCTGCTTTCTTTCCTTTCCATTCACGTCTTTCCTTTTCCTGTCCACTTCTTCCTTGTCTTTTTTTTCTCTCCAGAACTGGGTGGTTCCACTCTCAACATGGACAGCATCAGGAAATGTCTGCAACAGGAATCTCCGCTGGGAAAAGCTATTCACGACTTTCACAAATGGCTGGAGGTTGAAAGAGGATTATTAAAAAGAGCATTACAATTGTGAGATCATTGGTAAATGAAAGCTTTAAATGAAATCAAAATTTTGTCAAATTGGACGTGACAACTTTGAACATGCAGCAATAAAAGAAATGTATGTAATATATGCAATTTAAGTGTTATATACAGGATATGATATTAATCTATCTGAAACTAGTGATTACAGGTTTTTGCTTAATTTCAGCATCTCATGGCTGGTATGAGCTGGTAGAGCTGTGCAGGAACAGGTGAAGACTCTCAGTTTGGAGTAAAATATTTGAGTGTGAGAGGCTTAACTGCACAATCATTCATATACACAGAAAGCTACTTGCAGTGTTGTTGTTGCTAGCTAGCTAGCTAGCTAGCTAGGTAAGTAGACTATTAATTCATGCATAGCTCATACATACTTTATTCATTCATTTTCTGAAGGGAAATTGTAGTGTCGCAGCAGAGGTTTACATAAAATTAAAATGAAATCACAGTTTCAAGGCCTACACAACTTACTCAAAAACACGCATGAGATAGTTAAACCAGAAACAAGCAATAAAAAGAAATTAACACACATTTACAAATATATATTCATTCAAACCACTCTAAAAAAGGCATGAAGATATGTCTATCCGACTATCAGTGCAGATGAGTGTAGATTGTGCATAGTGGATTCAGGAGAAATAAGTCTCCACTCCCTGCCCAGAGGGGATTCATTGTATATTTTAATTGCAGGGTGCAGGAATGACTTCCTGTAGCGGTCCTTATTACTATGGAGCTGCAGGAGTCTCAGACTAAAGAGGCTTTGTTGTCCGACCAGTAGATCCTGCAGAGGATGTGAAGTGTTATCCATAATTATGAGCAGTTTGTGCAACATCCTTCCCTCCACAACCAACTCAAGAGGCTCTAGGATAGTCTACAGCACAGAGCCAGCACTCTATATCAGCCTGTTCAGCTTCTTAGTGTCTGGCTTTGATTTAGATGGCTGCAAAAAATTGCACTTGCAACAAAAGACTATTGCTGCACACAATAAATGAGAAGTAGAGTCTGCTCTGTCCCTTCCTGTAGACAGCCTCAGTGTTACACTTCCAGGTGAACACCCAGGTATCTGTAGCCCTCCACCACCTCCACCTCTTCTCCCCACATGTAGATGATGACAGGACTCAGATACAGTTGTACCATAAGTCTGAGGGGTATAGGGTAAAGATGGCGAGAGAACAGTCCCCTGTGGCGCGCCTGTGCTGCTAACCACCTACTCAGACACACATCCCCTCAGTCTCACAAACTGTACTCTGTCGGTCAGGTAGTCAATGAGCCAGGAGGCTGTGGATGTATCTACCTGCATCTTTTGGAGCTTCCCCAACAATAGTATATGCTAGATGGTGTTAAAGGCACTGGAAAAATGGAAGAACACAGCATTACTATTCATTTCCAAGTGAGAGTGGGATCGCTGGAGCAGGCAGATGATGGCATCTTCGACACCCACCTCAGGGCGGTAGGCCGGTAGGCAAACTGCCTACAGCACTGACAGAATCAATTATTTGGACCACATCAAAAGAAGTCCCACCAGCCAGTGAGACCTAAATCTTGACTGACCTTGTACTTCTAGAGAGCAGCTTGTGTTTTCTCCTCCTCCTCATCGTCACTACTCTCTATCACAGTGAAAGAGTATGAATACGGTTACTGAGGGGGAAACAATTATATGGCCTGATCATGTATGATACATTTGTCTAGTGCTGCAGAATAGATGATATGATATATGCTTCTATTACTGAATGAAAACCCATGCTGCAGGGATCTATGATGGGATTCTAGTTAACTCCTCATTATTGTAGCCAACTTCCAGTGGCTCAAGCTGTAAAACCAGAAATAGTGTCATTAGTTGACTGGTAAAACTTGATCAAAATGGTGACCCCACAATAAGAAACACTGTCATGTAGAAAAATATGACTGAAATATAACTGTTTTGGATGTGCACACACAATACTATGACACCGAATGGACTTAGCGATGACCTGATCTTAAAACACTTTTTAAATAAGCACTGTATGTCATCTTTTGAAACCCACGATCATCCCCAAGATTATCCTACAATGGGAAATGAACTGGGTTTATTCAAATGTCCCATTATTGCCATCTAGTGTTCGGTCCAGTGAATCAGTGAAGGCCAGAAACCATAGACTGTTATGTAAA